TTAAATTATTTAAATAATTAACTACTAATTACTAATTTTTTCTAAATATATTATAATTCTAACATAATTTTTTTAATATCTTCTTTCAGGGAGGATGATGATCAAGAATAGCTGTTTCAAAAAATTTTATCATTAAAAAAAATGGCCTTTCATAAATAAAAATGTATAAATTAAAATTGGTTTAGTTTCTTAAAAAATAAAAAATTACAATTTGTAGCGGTTATATAACCGCTAAAAATTGTGAAACCGTTATAAATACTAGCGGTTTTATTATATGCTAGAAAATGCAAGGCCGCTACAATATCACTGCAATAATTTTCACTATACATTCATGTCGTTTATTTAGTACAAAATATTTAAAGCTTATTAATTTATACTCTTCTAGTCCTATTTATAATGTACTTCCAACATGTTTCATACAGATCAAAGAAAACTTTAAACTGCATTAACTCTTCATTAAAATATAACAACTTTTCAACTTTATTTCCATTTAATATATATACCTTTTAAAAAAATAATTATTTACACTATAATAAATTAAGAATAAAATAGAACACTTATACTAAAAATTTAATGAAATGACTTATAAATAAGATAAATTTTTTTTTTCTCTTTATGCCTTATAAATAGAACGATAGGAGTACATGATAAACATGCATCAAGCTGTAAACTAAAATAAAAAAGAATACTACCTCTCATCCTTAATTAATATAAAATCTACTTAACTAATTTGGATAGATTAAAGAATGGATAATACTTGCATCAAGTTTTTTATATCGATTATGTCAAGTTCTCTAATCACACATGATGATGTGTCATATACTTTTGAAATATTAACATTTAGTAGCATTTAATTTAAAAAAAAAAAAGACACATGATTATGTATGATTGGAGAACTTGACATAATAGATATAAAAAATTTGATTTAAGTTTTTTTAAAAAATTAGTTAAATTAGTTATTTATAAAAAATATACATGATATCACATCATAAAATGACGAGTATTACACACTCTTCGTCTTGTCATTTAATTTAGTTACGTTTTTAATTCTTCTTTTATATTCTCAAATGCTAATTCATTGTTACATACATTCTCACTTATTAGATACTTCTGAAAGCACGATGTGTGTGTGTGTAGGGTTTACAATGCCTATATATTTCACTTGAGCTATGTCAGGCAAGTATATTATTCATCAAGAGTATAACTATATTACTGGTACTTCGTTTTGGATAAGAAGAAAATTAGAGAGAGAGTTTTTATTCAGAGTACTCTCTACTGCTTAGTACAATCGACAGGAGCTAAAAAAAACTTTCTTCTGATTAAGATCATGCTCCACCTTAAAATCTATCTGAGTCGCATTTCCGTAAATGGGCGTTCCATCTGTAGGAAGCATTGTAAAGCACGCAACATCGTTGGATATGAAACTGAAAAAGTTCTGACGTTGTAAGGAAAGGTTGGCCCCCGTAAAATGAACCTCGAAATTCAGAATATTCTGGATAATAGAGTTAGCATTTCTGTAACACAATTTGTATTCATTGTTCTGAACTATGAATTGGTCGGCTCCAATGGCTTGCTTCACCAAAGCTTCAACCTGGTCATAAAAGCTTGATGGAAGCATGGTCAATGTCGTCCCAGAGTCAATTATTATGTTCCCATTGCTTTGACCAGTCCGCACATTCTGTTGTCCAACAGTGATACCTATCAACAACCATTTCACATGGACAATTTAAGCCAGGGGTCAAAGAGTCGCCGACAAACTCAATTATTTTTATATATTTTGGTATCTTTTATATGAGTTTTGTCAGCTTAATTGGTCCCTTTTTGCCTTAATTGATTTAATTTATTTTATTTTGAATTATTATTTTATAGGGGCAAAATTGTCATATTTTGGTTTAATTGTGACTAATTGATTTTTGAGGACAATTAATGCTACCTTATCCTTGAATTTTGCTTGCAGGTTCTTGGAAGATTCAAAAATTAAAAAAAATAAAAAATAAAAGAAAAAGGAAAAAAAATTAAATTAAAAGAAAATAATAATAATAATAAGGTAGGGCCAAAATGTTGCGTTTTGCCCCAACCTAACAATCATCATCAGCTGGAAGGGACGGGGCCGAAAAGAGGAACTCACGAGCTGGAGGCGGCGTGAACTGAAGAGAACAGCGAGAGGAGCAACACAAAACGGTGGGAGGTGAGCTGGGGGTGGCTGGAAAAAAACACACGACACGCAACAGAGCTGGAGGCAGCAAAACAGAGAAAAGAGCTGGACGGCGGCTGAGAGTAGAGGAGACGCGCCGAACACGAGCTCGTGACGGCGAGAAGCAGGAGCTGGGCGACGAACCAGTGAGCGACGGCGCCTTCACCTTCTTCTTCTCCGAAGCACGAACAGAGACGGAGAGGACGCAAGCGGCGCTGAAAACAGAGCTGAGGTGCGGCGGACAGAACGAGCAAACACAACATGAGATGGAGCGACCTCATCACCTTCCTTTGTTTTCTCCGTGAGTTATTCTCAGCGTCAACAGAACCAGCGAGACCAGCGACGGCAATCATCTTTTCTTCTCCTTGCCGGTGCACAGAACCAGTGAGGACCACTGTTCCGTCATCTCCTCCATGGAAGCTTGCAATAGAGAATTGCTGGTGGCAGCGAATTTGATAGTAAACCGTGGCTAATTCATGATTCTCCAATTCAACAATAATGGCAGGAGCTTGGATCTTTAAGGGGGAGTTCTAGTTGCTTTAATTTCTTACTCAATAATTGTTTAACAATTCCTAGGTCTTAGGATAGTTTTTCTGATTGTTGAGATAATTGTATTGCTTAATCTGATTATATCTGGAGATTATTGTGACTGAATTATTGCTTAGTATTTGACATTGGGCTGTTTATAGTTTTGATCTCAATTATAATATTGTGGTTATGACATTTGTATTGATTTTGGAATTAATATATTGTGATTTTCTAAGGTGACTTAGAATTTTGGATCATATTGTCTCTTGCTAGCTTTAGTTCTGTTATTTTGGATTTAAGAGTTCTAATTAAGCATTGGTTTTTAGCATCCTTAATCCCATTTTACTATTCTGGTTACAGTTAGTAAGTTGGGATTTTAGGAAAATATTTTGTGGCAACTCAAGGTGACTCGGTTGTTGGATCAAAACACTACAACAAAATGTGTCATTTACCTCCCTCATTTATGTCTGTTTTGCAAAACAGAAGAGACTTCATGTCTGTTTTAAACAAAACAGACGTGAATTCACGTCCGTTGACCCAAAACAGACGTGAACTCACGTCCGTTGACCCAAAACAGACGTGAACTCACGTCCGTTTACCCAAAACAGACGTGAACTCACGTCCGTTTCTAAGTAAACAGACGTGAAGTCATTTTAAAAAAAAATTTGCCCGCAGCTAGTGCAGCTCGCCGCATCAGTAGTTATCTATCAGATTTGCATATGTACCGCGCACGATCGAAGAACTCCAGCTCGCAGCTATCTCGCACCCAACTTTCAGTTTCGATCGGTCTCTCCCTCTCATTTTCCTCTTGTCCGTGAAGTAGCCGTGAGCTCTTCCCCTGGTTTCAGCTCTTCAAGGCCGCGCCGTAGCCGGACTCCCTCCATTGCGTCGCTCATTCTGCAGTAGCCGTGTTGTAGCAGCTCGCCGTTGAAGCCGTGAAGCTCACACGCACAGCAACTCACCATCGTCGTCCTCTCTGTAGGCCGTTGATTCGAAGGCACGCCAGAACGGTGAAGGTAAGTTCATTCAACCGTTGCATTTTAGTGTGTTGTACGGTGGGTTTGAGTAGGTTGAGGAGTTTTGAATTGATTTCTGAGGTTGCTGTTTAAATTTTTGCTAAAGAATTGTGTTTAGATAGTTTTAAATTTGTATATATTGATTGGATAGAAATTTTAATGATTTCAAGCCTTGTTAATCTTGTTAGAAAAATAATGCATACAAGGTGTTTGTTAAAATGCCTAAGAGGGATTGCATTAGATAGTTTGCTATATGTGTTGAATTTAGATTAAGGATTGGGTATACATTAAATGATTAATGAAAAAATTGTATTTAGATAAGTTAAAATTTATTTACATTGATTGGGTAATAGATTTGAAGTTTGAAATCATTTGTTTGGAATTGGCATGATTTATGTTGTAATTGGAATGAATCGGATTCAATTGATATCATTAGTTTGAATTGGTTAATGTTTATTGGGACTGTGCTGAATGGAATTAAATTGTTTATAATTCCTTAGGTAGTAACAGAATGGATCATAGTTGGATGAATGCTTTAAGAACAAGTGATGAATATGAGAACGGAGTAGAACGATTTATTGAATTTGCTAAACAGAATGCTCGTAGCAATAACGGAATGTATTTTTGTCCCTGTGTCAAGTGTTTAAATGAGAGGCGACTAAGTGTTGATGATATTAGAGATCACCTGCTTTGTGATGGTATAAATCTTCGATATACAAAATGGATATGGCATGGTGAAGTAGGAACAAGTTCAATACTCGAAGAAGAGGAAGATATGGATGATGTAAATGATAGAATGAGCGATATGATTCGTGATGTAGGGGTAGAGTTCTTTGTGCAATCACATGCAAATGATAACTTGAAGAGTGATGCAGAGATGCCTTTGTACCCTGGGTGTTCTAAGTATACACGATTGACAGCTGTATTGAAATTGTTCAGTTTAAAAGCAAATAATGGGTGGACTGACAAAAGTTTCACAGAGTTGCTTCAATTGATTAGTGATATGCTTCCAATTGATAACGTTCTTCCAAATCGTGTGTATGAAGCAAAGAAAATCTTGTCTCGGATGGGTATGGGCTATGAAAAGATACACGCTTGTCCTAATGACTGTGTATTATATAGAAAAGAGTATGCTGGTCTACGTGAGTGCCCAAAATGTAAAACTTGATATTATTTATATATTAATACATTTCACTATAATTTACTTACTTATCTAATTTTGGTTTTTCAACAGGCATATGGAGGAGGATTTTGATGCCAATATGGAGGAGGATTTTGATGCCAATATGGAGGAGGATTATGACATCGATGATGTCAATCAGCCGGAAGGAAGGAAGGTTAGAGGTAGTACAAGGCTACCAAAGTTAGCAGTACGTCATGGTCGTATTCAGAAGAAGCATGTGGATTTTGATGCCAATATGAATCCAATTGGTGAAGAGAAGGACAGATTCATTAGCTATATAGGCTCCGTTGCCCGAAGCAAAGTCAATATTCTATGGCCTAATTGGAAGTCAATTTCTAAGCAGACGAAGGATATGATTTGGGAATATATTTTGGTATGTCACTTTCTAATTTTATTTCATTTGTTTTATTGTAAATATAGTTATAACTAAGATCTTAAACTCAAACATATATATTTTTCTTTGCAGCAAACGTATGACATCCCTCGTACTGAGCAAATGAAAAAGCATTTGTTGCAGCAAGTTCGTCAGCGCTGGAAAGATTTTAAGCACACACTCACGAGCCAGTATGTGCGAGGGTCTAGGAAAGATGATGATCCGTGCGAAAAATACACCTTCCTTGATCCAGATGATTGGAGGAGGTTTGTGGCATCACAGCATGATCCTAAATTTCAGGTACATTGCCTTATAAAGCAAAGTCATTGATTTAATTTACTTCACTTACTCAATTTACTTTGTTTTCTTTTCCACAGGAATTAAGTGCGATGAATAAAGAAAGGCAAGCTAAAAATTTATATCCGCACTATTTATCCCGTGGAGGTTACAAGATGCTTGAGGAGAGGATCATGCAGGATGACTTTAAGGCGATACAGGAAGCTGCAAAATCTGATCCTAGTATCGTTGTTCAGACCCCACCTCCTCCTCCACGTCATAGAAAATGGAAGGAAGCAAGGATGAAGAAGGGTCAATATATTAATCCAGCAGTTGCTGAGATTGCTAAAAAAATTGTAAGTTGTATACATCAAATAACTTTAACTTATGGTAATATTCCTTATATTTTATCATTAATTTTCTATTATACTGTCATTAATTTTTTATCATACTTAAAATGTTATAGGAGGTACTTGAAGAGCAAAGCAGTGAAGGTTCATTTAGTCCGAGTGGAAGGATGGACATTTTAGTGACAGCGATTGGGAAGCCTGATCACCCCGGACGCGTTAGAGGAGAAGGGAGGACAGTTGGTCTTACCCAATATTTTGGACAAACTTCACGAGCTTCTCTACGAAGTCAACCCACTGATGAGATGATAGCTAAACTTCGAGACCAAGTTCGTGATGAGCTCCAATCTGAGCTAGAGGTCAAGATTGAGGCCCAGTTACGCCAGTCACTTCGAAAAGAGCTTATGGCTGAGCTTCGTGATGAGATGAAATCTATGGTCTCTAGCATGCAAATTGGGACAGTTCAACAACAATGCACATCCTAGGTTTGTAATCAATTTCACTTAAATTAATGTTGAGTTTTACCAACGTTTTTTTAATTTAATTTAATACTTGCATTTCTCTCATTTAGGATTCCCCCGTCTTTCCTAGCACTAAAAACAGTTGTAATCCACCGGGGGCATTGGGAGAGCATGATCCTAGTAGTCCCACGCCGGACTTTGGACAACCTTGTTGTCTTCGTTTAGAGGTCCCAAGGATGCGTGTTGTTGCTGACGCTCTCCTCTACAATCAAGGGAGCACTATCCATCACCAACATATTCAAGAGGACCAAGCGAGGGTTACAGTTACGACTGTTCGAGAGGGAGAGACAGGTGCGGATGTGCCATTCCCGACTGCTGAAGTTGTGAAGTTAGGTCAGGCAATTGGAACTTTCATTCTTTGGCCTAGACACCTTGTTGATGAGGAGATAATACCTGTGATGGTAAGAAAATGTTATTCTATACTGTGTGCATTTTTTTAACATAATACTTATAATACTTATTATGTTTATTTGATGTTTCATTAGGACTAGGAAGATGTTAATAGATATCCCTGCTTGGCACAATTATATGAGGAATATAAAACAATTAACAAGGTCGACATAAAGATGTCTGTAGGGATTGTGGGTGAAGAAAAATCATATTTCTTTGGACTTGACAACAAAGACATCAGGGATTTGTTATCCTTGAAGGAGTTGGACATAGCATGGGTTCAATTAGCAATCATGTAAGTTTACTTTTTCATTTCTAACTTAAATTTCTAATCTCTTACTTTCACATACTAATAATTATCTTATTTCAATTCAATGATAGCTTCTTCCATAACAAATGCATGTCATCAATGGAGAAGAGAAATTTGTATGGATATTTATGCCCTGCAAGTGTCCAGAAGAAGTACAACCCACTAGATAAGAGAATCAGATATGTGGGCAATACAATTGGAGACACTAAATTACCTTGTTATTTGGCACCAATTATTGAAGGGCAAGTAGCTTAATTATATTTATTTATACATACTTAAATTGTTAAGAATTATTGTGATATCCAGTAATGTATAAGTCTTACTCTATGATGCAGTTGTCATTGGAGTTTGTGTGTTTCTTGTCCCATTGACAATGTCATCTACTAGTTTGATCCCTTGGGTCGTCGTCCAAGCGGTGAGATGAGGGGCGTTTTCAACACGTAAGTACCTTAATGTAGATCAATAATTTTGTTTTCAATATAAATTATTTAACTTGTGCTTTCATTTGCTTATAGGGCTTTAAAGACTTATTATATAACCGGTGGGAAGGGTTCCGGGAAAAATGGCTCAACAACTTGGATATATCCTAGTGTGAGTACTTTAAATTGAAGTTCTTTCATTGATGGCAGTTATTTTATATATGAATTTGGATTATCATTTCCTTGTGATTTGCAGTGTGCTAAGCAACAAGGGCCAACAGAGTGCGGATATTACATTATCCGTTATATGTTTGAGATAATTGAGAGCGGATGTATTACAAAATTTGATGAGGTAAGTAAATATAATTTTAGTTTTGTAATAATTGAATTTTTAAATTGAATTGTTACTTATTTTATTTTCTTCCTATGTTTAAATTTGTTCATTTGTCAATTTACAGATTTTTGATAATGATTGTTCATATACTATTGATGACATTAACTTCATCCGAGACCTTTTGGCACAGCAACTGCTTCAAGAATTGTGGTCCAGGGATTGAGCAAGTTTATGTTTAGAGACAATAGGATCAATATTGACTTTTGTAATTTGTTCTTCTTTTTTGACTAGTTAGTTAATTAATGTGTCTATATAGATGAAGTTATGATGTTGATATGTCTTGGCTGAAAATATTGACTGGTTCATACTATTTCAACTTGCTGGAAAGTGGCTATTATGGCTATTGTGGCTGTAGGAGAAGCAGTATATACGAACTGAATCTTTTTTTTTAAAAAAAACAGAGTAAATTCACGTCTGTTTAGAGAAAAACAGACGTGAATTCACGTCTGTTTTTCTCTAAACAGACGTGAATTCACGTCTGTTATGTTATTAAAATAAACAGACGTGAATTCACGTCTGTTTTTTCAACCAGACGTGAATTCTCGTCCGTTCCAAACAGAAGTAAAAAGGGGGTACTTTTTATGTCCCTTCTTTTCATGTCCCCTGCAAAACAGACGTAAAAAGTCCTCCAAAACAGAAGTAAAAAGGCTTCATTGTAGTAGTGAAAGCTTAATTATAATTCTTAATTCATTGTTTTTAACTCCCACATCTTTTAGAGTGATAATTGCTTGCGTTGTTGAATTGGAGGATTGATTTTTATCAGTGTTATTTGTGTGTCTCATTTTCATTTCTTTATTCTTCATTCATTTTAATCATTTTTACATAAAAACAAAAAAAAAAGAAAAATATTTTAATTTTAATTTAATTCAAGGTGTTTACTTAGCAATTTTCAAAATCAAAAATCCCTTTTTATAGTTAAGGTTACTTGCATTTATTTACTATGATTTAATTTCATTTTCAGCTCCTCAAAGTGAATACGACCCGGGTTGTGCACTATATTGCATTAATTCGGTTAATCTTTGGAGTAACCCCAAAGCGACAATTAAGGGTAGTAAACTTCAGTCGCATAAAATCGAACTGCATAAATCAGAAGATAAAACTAACTTGAGATGAAAATAAATAAAATAACCTCAAATTAAAACATAACACTAGCTAGCTAGTACCTTCAAGGCTGAGGAAGTAAAACGACGAGATGGGACCATTTTTGGTGATCAATGGAGTGGACACAAGCCCATTTCCTGACATGGTGGCTTCTTTCCCGAACCTTAGTTTAGTTGTAGTCTTTAGACCGTAAGGAGGAAGACAGTACAAGAATTTGCGACCTACTTTACCCATTTGTGAAACTAAAGACAAATTCCCTTGAGCAAGCCCAACAAGTCTTGCGTTGTTCTCGTTGTATATTCCATTGTTGTTGTTTCCACACCCAAACACCGTCTTAGGAAACAAAACATTTCGGCCGAAACTAACTGATTCTGTGGCCAGTTCTGCCATTGTGTATGAGACGTCCCCATAAGAATAAAAATACGTACACACATTGGCTGATCCACATCGAGGATACATTTGGCCTTGCACGTAGCGACGGGGCAGAGCTTTACAAGGGAGTGATCGACATGACAGAGACATATACATGGAAGAACTTTTTTGATCAAAGAGCGGTGCCTTTTGACGGTAGCACTGAGGTTGTGGACAAGGTTTGCATTGGAATCAAATAAGGTCGCTTCCTGTGTCTGCAAGTGCCCTTCTCTCTACGGGTGGAGTGCCAACAGATATCTTCATCAGGTAACTTCCATCATTAGGGAGTATATCAGTTTCTACTGACTCAGCCACGGAAGACTGGCTAAAGCGATTGGCTCGAGAATGGACCGCAACACAGCGTTTTGAACTCGCTCTGAGTCGGTCATTGAGGAGCTGTAGAAGGGAGATAATGGTGAGACACGATGAATGAGGTCGATGCTGAAACCTTTTGGGAGGTTAGTATTTGTTGCAGAGTCATTAATGGAAAAGGCTGAGCGAAAGAGAATAATAAGAGTGAAAGAGAAAGAGAGGGAATGGTGAGGAAGCATGTTTGAGGAATAATGGTTGGGATAAATCACAAACAAGATTTGATGAGGAAGGAAGGAGGTTGAGGTGCGTCCTTATATAGAAAAGTTTGGGTTACAAATTGCACATAGTAGCCATCAATACCAACTCACAAGTCTGAACTAACTTCACAGTAATAAGCATCATGATTACCGAGTTGTGAAAGGTGGGATGATTAGGATTGGCGATTATGGGAGAGGACACAACCCCATTTGCTGATATGTCGGCTTCTTCTCCGAATCTCAACTTAGTCGCAGCCTTTGCGTCGAAAGGAGCGAAACAGTAGGAAAATCTGCAACCAATCTGATTAACGAGTTGTGAAATTAGGGACAAATTGAAGGACCATTACCTAGTCCAACAAGTCCTGCCATTTGCCTATTGAACTTCCCAAGATTGTCATGTCCACATCCAAACACTGACTTAGGGAACGAAACAGATTGGCTATCGCTAGTAACAAAACTGATTGAATTTGTTGTCGAATCTCCCACCGTGTAGCCTGATCTCCATATAAAAAAAAAGTACAAACACCGACTTGAGTTTCCGCATCTATGTTAAAGATGAGGGTGAAGAGCACAGTTTCTTGAGCCGCAAGAGTCAGACTTGAAAGTGAAAGATTTTGTGTGATCAAACAATGACACATCTTGAAGATAGCATTGGACGACCAAAATCAGGTCGTTTCTTGTGTCTGTCACACTCCATCTTTCTCCGGGTGGGCTGCCAGGGAAGATCTTCATAAGATAGCTTCCATAGTCTAGGATATGTTATATACACACACATGTCACACCTTACTTATATAGTACCTTAGCAGTCATTTAGAACCATTCCAAACCACTTTGGATGGTCTTAAACTTAAAAATTTCAATTTGGACGTTAATTTTCGGGAAATTACTGTTCACTGTCCAGTTTTCAGATTACAGGTCCAACTTTGAAAAATCATAACTAATTCTAAAAAAATCGTATGGAGGTGTTCCAAAATTCTACGGAAAGCTCTTTCAATGCTCTTTAAGGGAAAAATACTCAACTGAACTCATCCTCATGGAAAACGTACAGTTTATTGGATTAAGATTACTATCCGTTTGGTAAAATCTGGACTTTCCAGATTCTGCGCCTTAACTTTGAAAATTCATATCTCTTCGTATACACATCCAAATGAGGTGATTTACCACTCATTTTGAAGCTTGGGATGTGCACTATAGGTCTACCAAATCTCGTGATTTAACTCATTCATTTGGTAGGTCAAACTGAAGCTCAAAACTAACTGCTTCAGGACCTACGTTTTATCCTTTAATATCTCCTTACTTTAATTCTTTTTATTTCTTTGACATACATAGCATGGGCTTAATCTTTCTCATTCATACTCATATACTTTCATTCATGCCATAAACATCCTAAGCATATACATTGAAGTAATGGCATTCAAACATAATTTACAGCATAGGAGAATTATACATTGAATATTAATATCATTCATTTGCCTTAATAATTCTCCACTTCTTCTCCTTGCTTCTCATGCCATTAGTGCCCATCATTGATTGACCTAAATGGTTGGTTAGGAAGGGGGTGAGATTCGGGGGAATCTCAGTAGCAAACAATACCATATTAATCATGCTAAATGGATGCTCATGCACTACACGCAACTTGTTTATTCTCTTGTTAATTAGTGACATACTAGCATGCTCAAAGCTAACTTCTTGATGCATGGCCATGGAGACATAATCTACTCATCATGAATAGCAATCACAGCAGCTAAAACATGTCACAATAACATTCAATAACATGTACACGGCAACACACAAGCATACAACATCAAGCAATGACAATAGGTAAGTTCACTACCTTGCACCTCAAGCCTTCCTCTTACTTTTCCTTTGACTCCCTTGACTTTCCAACCATGTTAGCTTTCGGTCAACATCATCAAACATCCTCTTGGATGTTCCAAAGGTCCTAAACATAGTCATAATGATCATACAATCTATTAGGACCACTAGATTACATAAAGTTCAAAGCTAGCTCTCTTGAACCTCAACCCTTTCTCTTAGTCTTAGGGTTTTCTTTCTAACTTTTCTAACATAAATCTTATCATTTTACATCCTTATGATCTATTTCCTGTCAATTAGGACCACTTTAGATGGCTTTAGATTCAAGAATACCAAATCTGGAAATTTTGGTTCGCGGTACTGTTCACGCAGAATCTCCAGAATTTTTGCTCAACTTTGAAAATTCATAATTAAATCTAGAAAACTCCAAATTGAGTGCTTCCAAGTCTCACTGAAAGCCAATTAAGTTAAATTTAAAGGAAAAATATTTTCAGGAACCAATTCTACGCTGAACAGTACCAGAATTGTACGGAACTCGACACCCTTCCAAAAGCTTAACACTGTTTCCAGATTTCAAACCCTAACTTTGAAAAATCACCATAAATCGTACACATATCCAAATGGAGTGTTCTACCCATGGATTTAAAGCTCACAGAGTGTACTTTAAGCATGCAAAATTTCAGAATCAGATACGCACAGTAACTAATTTGAAATAGGTATCAAATCAGATGCTACAGCCACCACATACCTTGATCTTGAAGCTTGAACTTTGTTCCTTCTTCTTGGCCTTCACCCCTACGTTTTTCTCTCTAAATTTTGGCAGAGTTTCCCCTCTTAAACTCATGTTGGCTGAAAATATGAAGGGGAAGAGGCTCTATTTATAGCCAAAAAAGTTGGCTTGAATGGACCAAAATGCCCTTGGTGGCTAATAGAAAGGGTAAGGGCAAATTTGGAAGTTCAAGTGGACTTTTGCATCATCATTGCATCATCTTATTACATCATGCTTACCTCAACCTTCTAGAAGATGCCAAGTGTCATGAAAGTGGTGGAGGAGATGGGAGATTAGATCCTAGCCGTTGGATCAAACTTGTTTCATAAGCTTCGTCCGAATTTACTTGGCCCACGGTTCTCCGGCTTTCTTTATGGCCTTTTGGAGCTCAGAAAATTATTCTGTCTGCTTTATAAATTCCCTTTAATTCTAGAGAATATCTATAAATTTTCTTAGGCCATAACACTTCCTTTAAACCTTGCATAAAAATTCATTTACCAAAATGCCCTTTTATCGGCAAAACCGGCTCTTTAATTTATTAAAGCCACTCCACTGGTCTTTTGGTTGCGGGACTAATTTTATAAATTAGTACAACCTTTCAACCATTTAACCTCATTTTTGTATACATTTTTGAGGTCTCTTGCTATTTTAAATAATTACCTCACATGGTATACTTTTTACCGGTAATA